GCAGTGTAGGAGCGATAAGTAAGAAAGCAGTATGGGTGAGGACAGGAGTCAGGATACTAACTTGGGTAGCACAGGTGGTGGTGGTGCCATAGAAGATGGCAGCAAGAGAAAAAGAAAAGCAGCAAAGAGATTGAGAAGTGGATGAATTGGTGGAAGGATGCAGGAGAGAGATCGCGGGGCTGAGGTCCTGTCCCACAGAACTGAAAGGTATGTGCACAGCTAGCACTGAGGTATCTCTGGGATACCTGGATTTCTGTTTGTTGTATTCCAGATGCTCTAGAGCCCACCGAGCAGTAAATCTAATGCCTCAGGATGATGCACACAGTGAAACTGACTTCAGAACGCACCATAAGTTCATCATACACTTCCCTCATGCACTAGAGACTTTCTTTAAAGTGACCTGCACTTATTTCAGAAGCATCCAGATTTTCCAAATACAGGGCAGTCCAGCGGGATGTACTATACAAAAGTGGCCCCAGTCAGGCTGCCAAACATTTGGAAGTTCTGGAAAAAATATAAAAACAAAACCTCTCAAGTTCCATACAGACAAGACTTTCAAGCAAAACAAAAGGAGAAAAAAAACCAAAGACATGCCTGAAGAAGCCTAGACAATGGTAGGCCTGATGAGCTCAGCCTAGTAAGCCAGGGGTGCTGCTGGTGGCATTCAAGAAATCTCAATCTGGGAATTCTTGACCTAAGTTAAGGTCCCTGTTGATTACGCAGATAAAAATTTTGACAGTAAGCAACAAAGGGAGTTTACTGCGTGAATGGCAATTTGAAGAGGAGAAATGCTACATTAAGCTCTCCACACATTTGTTCCATTTATTATTCCAATGAGCTACATCAAAATTTTGAACTCAGTTATCAACAAGCAAATCTCCTCAAGTTTCATCATAATGCATTTATTCAATGCATTGACAATGAACCAGGGCCAGCTGTACAACATCCCTTGAAAAAGCTACAGAATTAAGGCGTCCACAGGAGACTTCCACATGTGAACTTTTGGAAACAGGCGTTGATTGGGATTTTCACTGAGAATTAAACATATTATATCTCTCATTTGAAGATAAAGTTAATACCCGTCATTCTCTGTGGTATTCTCTGGAAGATCGAATAGTTCCACAGGTCCTTTTTGTTCTTCCTCTTTCAATCTCTCTTTTCCAAACTCCGAAGGATAAATCTACAAATACAACAACACAAAAGTAAATTTTTAACTGTAGTGGCATAACGTACACCAACTAAGAAAAAATATCTCACCAAGCCTTTTAGACTTTATGTTTTTTTATCTAGAATCAGTAAAGGGATCAATTCCATAAACTTTAATACCCTCTTAATTTTAATTTACAGAAAAGACAGTAGAATAAACAAACTGCCTGTTAGGAATGAGAATATTCTGAGACAGATGAAGAACAAGAGGAACCCTGACTTTGTTCATTTCACTGCGGCCTTTTTCAGAAAAGGGTATTTGACTAACATTTCTCAGAAAGCTGGAGGCAGACACTAAAAATGGAAAAATATAACTTAACTGATCAGAATTCAACCAGTTTACTAATAACTCGGAAGTGGTGAAAACGCAAGAAGCGTTATGCAATGGTGAAAGAGGTTGGAAGGCATTTAGAAATAGCCAGATTTAAGGTTGGGTTATCTACCATAAAGACTAGTGAAAATTAAACTAGCTAAGGAAATGTAGTCTCCCCCTACTAGACTTCGAGAACTTCACTATGAGTCTCAGAAAAACCTGCTCTTAGAGCCAACCTCATAAACACGAGAAGTTAACAACCTCGGGATCTAACTCTACCAAATACATGCCCGTTGCTGAAAAGCTGCATGTTTATTTCTAACACAGCAAGTTAAATTGCAACACAGTTTCTCCTTTATCAGGTTAATATCTCTTTTGGTTCTCCACAGAACTGGCTTTGTTCTTAAACTGTAGTCTTTATTTTTTATTTTTTTTTTTTCCAGTAAAAGCCAGTGTCCTTTTAGAAAGCAGGTCTTACCTTAACAGAAAATACTGCTCCTCCTTTGGGCGTGAAAGAACTAAATAGAGCCAGCAAATCCTTAGCCTTCAACCTATCCCAATCCATATTACAAACTGCCAATCTGCTTGTAACCTAAAGAGAGAAAAAAAACCAAAAAAACCCATAAAGTTCATAGGTTTAATTCCTGACTGCTATGGGGAATACACAATTCTCTAGCAGCTATCCTTGGTAAAAAACAAAGTCAGCAACAAACTCTACCGAAAAAATAAAAGAAGCCTTTTCCTCAAGACTTTGTATCACTTAAACTAGCAAAGGTCAGAAGCAGCAATCACAAAAGCAGGTAAAAAGGATATAAATAGCGAAGCACCACAGAGTGGACTGCACCAATCACAGATTTAGGACTGCAGTTACAACATCAGCACTTAGGATTTTATCATCATACGGTTAGTCACAATAGCAACTAGTATCACAGTACTCTAAAAGCACTAGACTACTGGGATTTCTTATACACTAATTGTGCTCAGTTTTAAAGTCCTACTTCACTGTCTAATCATTTCTTAATTTCTTAAAGCGTGATTTAAAAAATTAAACTTAAAAAAAGTGAAAAAAATCAGTAGTGAACAAAAGCAGTACTATTTAAATTCTGGAATTTCTGAAAAGTTCCACTCTGTTCTTTCACTTATAGATAGCTTATCTGTCTATAGGTAAGCCTCTGCTTAGAGGGGAAGGGAGACACCAGTGAAAGCTGCAGGTCTCTCATTCTCAGCCAATTTCATAATCATGTGCATTCTGTAACTAAAAGGCTGAAAAACCTTAACAAAAAATACTTTTAAAAAACATTTCATAGATGAAGGCCTATAACGAACTCATAACAGCATACACTTCTGAGTTTGTCACGTAGCAACTTTTCACATGCAGAACTATTGTTACCTCATCTCCACGAGGGGCATCTTTGTCTAGCTCACGCCATGAATGCTCTATCTCTGGCTCCTTTGGAAATATTTCATTTAAATCCTCATCATCATCTGAGCTTGTTTCAATGTTCCCTATGCCTCTAGCTAGATCAGGCCCACCATCACTTTCTTCATCATCTTCTGAATCACTGTCGTCTTCGCTTGTTTCCCCATCGTCTTCTGGGTTCTCATCCTCGCCTGTTTCCCCGTCATCTTCTGGCTCCTCTTCTTCCAATTCTGCACACTCAGAATCATCACCTGCAGAAATTTCTTCCTCTAATTGGCTTTTACTGATGTCACGTTGATCACATGTGTCTGTGCATACAGTCAGTGAAAGATAAACATCAGGTATCTATTTTTATGCTGTAATTATGTCTGATCCTTTACAAAGAGGAAAAAACGTCAGACTTACAGAACTCCTGAAATGCATAACGATGCAAGAACAAATTACGTCAGGGAAGTTCAAACAACATAAATTACCAGTATCGGCTTTTTGGCTTGCCTAATCTATTACTCTTTAGGCCCACAACCATATTATCGATCTCAAACTCTGAGAAAATATTATTCTGTTATTCTATTTATATTACAGAATCAACAGGTAAAAATTAGATTTCAATAACGTAGGCTATGTGCATGCACAAGCAATATAAAGAATGTTTTTCTTCCAGTCACCTATTCTCTCTAACACCCTCTTATATTAATGGCTTGGTGCGGCCATCCTTATGCTTTCAGTCAACAAGTGTTGATATGTTGAAGCCTTCATGGTATCAGACCTTATATTTGATATAAGGTTTGATAAATAATGTACACGCTACTATACATTTTAGTTTTCTAACCACCCTAAACAACAATTTCAGCTCCAACAATTAAAAGGATATGGATGTTCTCAATCTTACTGAAGAATCAGCACTGATTCTATAAAAAGCTGACCAACTGCAATTCTTCAGCAACACTGAATCCGAGTCAGTCAGCTATTTTATGACTGAGCTTGTGAAAGATCTTCCATGAATAAAACAAAAGCAACAACATCCAAGTAAATGTAGCCAAATTCTACTTGTTATTTGAATAACTCACCTGATTCTTTTCTTTTTCCTCCTAGGGAATGGTCCGTCCTGGGAGCTTTAACTGATTTAGTAGCACCTGGTTGTGAAGACTTTTGCTTGCTTTGAATTAAAATTGATCTTCCTCCTGATACATCCCTTTGCTTGCTTTCCCCTTTGTGTAAAAGGCCCTTGTTTCCCTGAGAGCGATCAATTTCTGTTGCAGTTTTCTTAGAGTCCTCTTTCAAGTTGTATTTAGAAGCAATTTTTTGTCCTTCATTTTTAAGGGCATTTAGTTTTGTCACCGCTTCACAGGTTTGGTCCGCCCCTTGTTTCTTTATTTTGCTCTGCTCCCTCGGGAGACCATCAGCAAGTAGTTTTGCAGAATCTGCTTCTCCTTTAGGTTTAGCTTTTTTTTTCTTTTTTTTCTTTTCAGTACATTCTTTACTACCATTTTCTGAAAGATCGGAGTCAGACTCTGACAGGGCATAAAATTTCCTGAGGTCCTCTGTAGAAGTATAGTTAACAGGGCGACCTCTTTTATCCACTGTATATTTCAGCTTAAACTTCTTGTCATGAAACATAGCTCGGAATCGTTTGTCAATCTTGATTTTACGTTCTTTTTCGGGCATCTCCCAAAATCTGGGATCCCTAGCAACGCAGCTAAACCGCCCATCGCTCAGTATCTCCTCTTGGGATGACATTTTTGATGCTGTAGAAGACTTGGACATCTACAATATGGAAAAAAAAAAAACCACAAAACGCCTCTGATTAAAAAAAATATTAACATAGATTTAGACATTAATTGAAAAATTAATTTAATTAATTAATTAATTAAAATTTTGAAGAATTAAGCAAAGGTAAATTTCTAACCTGTACCTAAAAAGTTCTTTCCAAAAGCCCACACGGCAATTTAAATGAGCCACAAATAATCCTGCAACTACCACAGCCTTGCCCACACATCCGAGCTTCCTCTGATAACGGATATACAGCTATAAAGACCATACCGGCTGCAGATACAGCCTTAAATGATCCCCTGCCAATCCCCAACTCGACCTCTAACAGTTTCACTGCCAGCCAGACCTCAGACTTGTACTTCCCACAGGACTACGGTATTCCACATTTCAAAGCGCCAGTCAGGAAAGAAGTCAGCAAGAGCACGAATGTTTTGGCGAGCTCAGCCCAGTGCCACCGGCAGCTCCGGCCCAGGCAGAGGCGCAGCTCGGCCCAGCAGCAACGCGGCAGCACCAAGGCCTTACCGCTGCGGCACCCCGCTCCCTCCCCGACCCAGGGAGGAGGAGGCCTGGCAGCGAGGAGCCCCGCTCGCCCCGCCCGCGGCCCACCGACCGTTAACAGCCGCCGCCTTCTCCTCGCCGCCCGGCTGCACTCCCTCACGCGGAGCCCCACCACAGGCCGACACGGGCACTTCCGGCGGCACTACGGCGGGCGCGGCGGGGGAAAACACCCCCCCC